CAAACAACAATGACAACTACAACCAAAATATAGCCAGGTGTTGTGGCGGGCACCTGTAGTCCCAGCTACTTGGGAAGCTGAGGCAAGAGGATCACTTAAGCCCAGGAGCTGGAGGTTGCTGTGATGCTACAACACTCTATCCAAGGTATCAGCCTGAGGCTCTGTCTCAAAAAAAAAAAAAAGACAAGCGGGCAAAATACCAAAACGACGCCTCTGTCTCTAAGATTGTGATACATTCTGGCTTAGAACCAGAACTAACTGAGGCCAGAATGAGGGAGAATCCCAACTAAATGTGAGGGAGGCAGCGTGGCTGTGAGGAGGGCATGAAAGGACGTCCTCTCAGCAGCTTTCCCACATGGGCACATCACTGGGGGAAGTGAGCAAGGCCCACCCTGGGCCGAGGGAGATGCACTTCTCAGCGCTGGCTCTTCAGCACTGCTTGCAAATGCATGTCACCTTGAAAAATGTTAAGGCAAAAAAGGGCAGCGTGACATTCATCCAGTAACTTATGAATGAAGCCCTGGAGAAGAAGGCTCTTTCTATCCTAGGAATTCTAAGAAAAAAATGTAAAGATTTTCTAAAAGTCCAGGTGTTTTAACCACTTACTCAAGCCAATGCACGTCTCTGAAGACCCTTGCAGCTTGGGGGATTCTTAGAGGTTAGAAAGCAGGTTCTTAGTACAAGCAAGCCTCCTGGGACCTCGCCACAAGTCTAGGACAGCAAGGGGTGACTTACTCACATGAAGTCTCCATTTATCTGTGGCTTCTGTTCCTGTCCAGGGCAGCAAAGTCCAGGGATTCAGTGGGACCCTCAACCTCTGCCCTAGATATTTTTGCCAATGCCACTCAACAGGTAGGAGTCAGAGCAGGTGTTGAAATCTAGGGTTCCAGGCTAGAGCCCCCCTATTCCTGCAGGGGATTCAAGCCCCAGGAAACAGGCTTGGCTTTGATGCCCCACAGTCTCCACTCAGATGTCTGGGTCTGCTTCTGCACTAACAGGCCAGGAGAGTCAAAGAATGAAGTTGATTTCTGCAGGCCCCAACTGAGCCCTCCTGATAGCATCTTCTAGTGGGGTTGGGGCCCTGTGCTCTGCCTTCTAATCTTGGCAATATGGCATTTAAATGGGTTTTCAGCTAAGACCCCAAGTCAGATTCTCAGAGACACTGGGACCCAGTAACTTAACATCCAATACCCACTACCTCCTCCCCACCATGATGACCCATGGGGCTACACCTGCCCTGTGACCCTCCAGCTCAGAGGCCATGGGTGACAGTCTGGGGTGGGGGTGCCTGATGCCCAGCATGGGCTGCTCCACAGACTACGTGAAGAGAAGCTGCTAACTAGCCACCCTGGACACATTGTTGGGACTGACCACCTGCTCCACAAGGCTGCTGGTACCTTGGAAGCACCCACTGCCACACTCAGGAGATGGTCTTCTTTTTTTTTTGAGACATAGCCTTAAGCTATCACCCTGGGTAGAGTGCTGTGGCATCACAGCTCACAGCAACCTCCAGCTCCTGGGCTCAAGTGATTCTCCTGCCTCAGCCTCCCAAGTAGCTGGGACCACAGGTGCCAGCCACAACACCTGGCTATTTTTTGGTTGCAGCTGTCATTGTTTGACGGGCCTGGGCTAGATTTGAACATGCCAGCTCAGGTGTATGTGGCTAGCGCCTTAGCCACTTGAGCCACAGGAGATGTTCTTGGCTGCCCAGCCTACAGGGGGACGCAGGGAGGCACAGCATCCACGGCTGCATGGGCAGCATATACTGGCCACTGTGCTGCTCCCCACTTACTGAAAGGACACCTTGATGTCATCAACTTCTGGGGCTTTAATTAAGCCCTAAACTTAGGCCACTTGAATTTCTCTGACAGTTCCAGCTCCTTCTAATCCATAATGGATTAAATGGTATTGTTTGCCTGGAACCCATGAACATGACCATATTTAGAAAAGGGTCTTCGCAGATGTGATTAAGTAAGATTCTAAAATGAGATCGTGGGGGGGTGCTGAATCCTGTGACAAGTCTCATATAGGGAGAAGACATGGAGGAGAAGTCCACGTGAAGACAGGCAGAGACTACAGTGACATAGCCAGAAGACAAGGACACCTGAGGCCACCAGGAGCTGGAAGCAGCTGCTCTGAGCAGCCTGGGAGCACTGCCCAGTCCACAACTTGATCTCAGACTTCTGGCCTCCAGACCATGAGAGTACAAATTCCTGTTGTTTAAGCTACCCAGCTGTGGTACTTTGCACAGCAATCCTGATAAACTTACACTTAACCTCGAGTCATTTCCCTGTTTTCAGCCCAACAATAGGCAGTGGGGCAGGAGCGGGCTGTGAGGCTGCCCTGAGGACACCAGGCTCTCTGTCCCCAAGGGGCTGCAGACCACAAGCTCTCTGCAAACATAGGAGAACGAAACCTCCCCGACCTGGAGGTACCCGAGGCTTTCTTCTTCTATGAGGAGAGTCCTGGCAGCACTTGGTAGGGGGACAGCAGGCACGGCACATTGCATTCCGTCCACTCCTCACCTTTCCTTCTTCTCTCACTGAGAATCCAAGCCAGAGCAGTGGAGAAGTCCCCCAAGGTCCACCTGTCCTTGGCCCAGTCCTGACCCTGTTCCTGTCCTCCTTGCTCTCTGCAAACCCCAACTCATGCGGCTGGCCACTGTCCCTCTGCCCATGCTGCTCACATTTGCATGTTCCTTTCAGCCACTGAAATGTACCTTGGACTCAAGCACAGGAACAAAATCTGCACACAGGGTCAAGGTCCCTCTCCTCTCTCTGTGGTAGGATGCTTTCATCAGCCTAGCCCAGGGCAGGGGGCTCCCTGTGCATGGCAGAGTAAGACTGAGAGTGGTGTGCCCAGAGGACCTCATAGGAAGCCAGCTCTGAAGCCTAGAAGTGCAGGCTGTATAGTTAGGACAACGGACACAAGCTGAGCCCAGCACAAAGGGCACAAGGAACTCTGGTACCATGCTGCTAACAGGGACTGTGCCTGGTTTGCAGGTGAGGCTTGGAAAGGCTCAGAAACTGGGGGCAGGTCCTCAGCCAAGTTCCAAGATGAGGGATGTCTACTTCAAGGCAGGATGCCAGACATCAGGTCAGTCCCAACAGTTAGCCTCTCCAACACCACCCAATGCCGTGCCCAAGGCTTTCTCTGGTCTCTTTCCGAGTGGCATTAGGGCAAATCTTTGAGGCCCACCAGAGCTTCCATTCTCCCCATTTTTAAGTTTTCTTTCCTTGTATTCAGCCACATGAACGAGCCTTTAGAGACCCAAGCTGCATGCATGTGGATCAAAATCAAGATTCCACCCCTCAAGAGCAGCTTGGAACCCTAGGGGATGCTTCCCCTTGGAATTGCTGCTGGAGGTGACAAGCAGTGGCCCCAACTGAAGCCCACTTCCAGGCTCTGCCTATCCCAGCCCTTCTATGCTCCTGACACTGATCCAAACTGGTCCTTGCCAGTGACCAGTTCAATGCTTCTCCATCCAGCAGGAGAGGAGGGAGGAGGTTTGTGTAAAATGCCTGCATGGGACCTGTGAAGCCCACAGGTAAGGAGAGACCCTGTGGCAACCACAGGCAAGGATGCTGGACACTGGGGAGACCCCAGGGAAGAAGGGCAGCTCCGTCCCTAAGAGGCACTGCCTGAGAGGAGAGATGTTGCTGGAGGAAGTATGCCCAAGTAAGAGATTAAGAAGGAGTAGCAGCAGGTGGACACAGAGGAGGGACAGCGGGCTGAAGCTGTTCTCAGAGTCCAGCCTGAGCCAGGCTTCCATGGCTGCTCCTGCTTTAGGGACCCTGCACCTTTCTGCCCAGCACACTCCTACACAGGGTGACCTCTCCTTCCCACCCCCCAGTTCTGGATGGCAGTCAAGCCTGGGCTAAGGAACAGGTGCACCCTGACTGCCCCATGCAGGCTCTACTATACATGGGACCTGCCATACCTGCTCCCTTGCTCAGGGACCAGGCCAAAGGGGAACAGCGCAGGAGGGCCACCACACCCAGCTAGGCCACCCAGTCTCCCGCTGCTGACAGGCAAGGAAGGGTTCTTCCTCACCCTGCTTCTGCTTCTGGCCCAGCATGACACCCCTCTGCACCCAGGCCTCCTCCCACCCCTCCAAGGGCCGCTCAGCTACAATGAGGAAGCAGTGGTTGCCCTGCCTGGGAACGGCCCCTCAAGCTGCTAAGGACACAGAGGGGCAGCAGGAGGGGCCTGCCAGGAAGGCAAGACTAAAGATTTCCAAAGGCAGCTTCCTAAAGCTCAGGCCATCCTGAGCTGGTCCCCAGGGTCCTCTGCTTTACAGCCCACATTTGTAAGGGGTGGGAGCTTCTCTGCAGGGGGTGCAGGGCCTCTGCCCACACCCTTCCCTTTGACCACCCCTCTGGAGTGGGCACCATGACCTCACTGTCCCTGACCTTAGCTGCCTCCTCGGTCCTCTAGTTCTCGTGATCCACACGGGGCAGAGAGGGAATGGGGAGATCAGCAGGTGAGTACGCAAACACCTGCCTTCCCCAACTCGCCCCCGCTTAGGGCTCTCGGCGCTCCCGCGGAGCACTGGTGAGGGTGGGCTCCTCCGTGCCTCCACCCAGCCCTGCAGCATTTTCTCGCCTCCTGGGAACCCCCACCCGACGCTAGCACGGATGGCTGGAAGAGGTAGGGACCAGCAGGGGCCAGAGGCTAGCGCACCGGGACTTATCCGCCTTGAGCACTCTACCCCGTCGCTGGGACCAATCCCACCAGCAAGGGCCCACCACGGACGCTCAGCCCGCTTCCGCCCCTGTAAATCAGGCAGACGCGGGAGGCTCATCTCAGTGCCTGCCTCCCCCGGCACCCTGCGCCGCCCCAGCTCAGACCCGGGAAGGGGGCAAGGCTCGTGTCAGGTGGGCCCGCCAAGGTCACCACGAGGCCGGCAGCAGTCACCACGCCGCGGGCCCGCACCGCTGGGCGCTGGGACGCCCGAGCGCGTTACGTAAGGCCGGGTGGCGGCTCGGGGCGGCGCGTACCTGCAGAGGGAACGTGGCCGCCCGGTTGCCCACGTAGCCGCGGACGACGTGGCTCTGGATGGAGAGCACCCGGCACTCCTCCTCCATGCCGGGCCTGGCCGCGGCGGCGCGGGACCCAGGCGCGTGTCACGGGCTCCGCCGCTAGCTCACACTGGGCTTGGGCTCGGCTCGGCTCCCGCTCGGCGCAGGCGCTCGGCTCGGACGCCCAGGCCGCCTCCCCCTGACCTCAGCTAGCTGCTCTGCACCGCAAGCTCCGCGCGGCGCCTGGGCGGGCCGGGGGCGGGGACAGTCGAGCAAGCCCCGCCCCGGGAAGGGAAAATGGGGAAAAAGCGAAACTGGACCCCAGCCAGCTGGGCCTCTGTGACCCAGGTCGCTGTGCATGTGGGTTGGAGCTGCGTTTTAATCTTACCCAGCGGGGACTCTGTCGTACTGGTCATTCATTCACTCGCTTGTTCATTCAACACACATGGCCGACCCTGGCCCTGCGCCCCGTGGTGCGGCCAGCTGGAGACTGGGGCCAGCTCCATGCCCCTGACCACGGGGCGCGACCCTCGGGGTGCAGCCTGACTGTGAACGCGCCCCGAGCGCAGAGCCCGGGAGAGCGGGCGTAGGGCATGGCGGCGGCGCGGAAGTGAACCGGGCCGCCCCCTCCCCACAGCCCCAATGCACCCCACACGTGCTCCGTTCCCACTCCAGGGTGCCTCAGGGCCCCTGATCCGAGTGGGGAACCGCGCATTCTCCTGCCTGCGGACCCGGAGACGGGACCCTACCTGCGCTCCCTCTCCGGGGCGGGGCGCCCCTCTGCCACCACCTCCGCGCAGTACCCGGCAAGCTACCGGGGTACGCGGGAGCTGGATGGGCCAGCCAGGTCCGCACAGGGATGGACATCTACAAGAAGCTGTGACACCTCTGGGGACCCCGCGTATCCCCTTCGTTGGCGGGGCCTGCAGGTGCACCCAGCCCCCAGCCCCAGCGAAGTGCCAGGCCCTCCAGCCACAGGTGTCTTGGGACTGGGCCAAGTGTCTGGTCCTACAGGGCCTGCCCACAAGGATAAAGCAGACCCGGTGGAGGCCCAGCCCCAACGTTACACCACTGCTTCACTTCTGAACCCACAGACAAGGCGATTTGGGTTCCTTGGAGTCTTTGACACTAGACTAAAGAAAGTCTTGCTGACGTAAGGCTGCGCACGCTCGCACTTAAGGCACTCTGTAGCTTGGTGAGAGCTGCCGGTGATGGCCGGGAGGGCATTGCTGTAGAGGTCTCTCCCCTCACTTTTTGAGACAATCTCATTCTGTGATCCTGGGTTGAATGCCATGGCATCATCATAGCTCACAGCAGCCTCTAACTCTTGGGTTCAAATGATTCTCTTGCCTTAGTTTTTCTATTTTTTAGTAGAGATGGGATCTCACTCTTGCTCAGAGTGGTCTTGAACTCCTGAGCTCAAGCAGTCCACCGGCCTCTGCTTCCCAGAGTGCTGGGATTACAGGTGTGGGCCATCTGCCTGGCCTAGAGGTCCATATTTTAAAGAGGAAATTACATTGTCATTAGCAATAATTGTCAATTAATAATAGTTAACATTTAAGCCAGGGGCGATGGCCAGTGTCTGTAGTCCCAGCTTCCTGGGAGGCTGGAGGATCACTTGAACCCAGCAGTTGGAGTCCTGGGCTGTTAACACAGGGAGAGTCTGTCTCAACAGTAATAATAATAATAATTGCTGGCATTCATTGAGAGTTGTGAGCTCCTGTTCCCCCTGCTTTCTCCCATCCCCCCCACCCTACAGGCAAGCTCCCGTTCCCCTGCCCTAGGGGAAACCTCCTGCCCTCTCCCAATTCCCCTGGTCCTCCACCCTACGGGCCTTTCCAGCCCGTTCCCATGCTCTCCAGAAGTCACAGAGGCATGGAAAGTCTCAAGTTTCACAAAACCTCCAAGTTCTCAGTAGATAAACAATGGTGGAAAACTCGCCCAGGCTTGCTCAGTAGATGAACAATGGTGGAAAACTCACTGAGGCTTGATTAATTACTGCTGTATAACCATAACCATTGTGATTTAAGATGTATCCATTGATCAATTATTGTTATATAATCATAACCATTATGATATGAGATGTATCCATTGATAACCAAGCTGTATCCCTGCCAATGGCAGTGTTCCTCTTGTACCCCCCCCCCACTTAAGCCATGCAGAGAAAAAAAGGTATAAAAGACAAAAAACCCTGCACTTTGGGGCCGCTTGTCTCAGAACAACAGCCCCCTGTGCAGGTGTGACTAAATCACCAATTAATAGCATCTGAGTGGGTCCAAGTTTATTTTTTCATAACCTCAAGGTTATTTCATGAGCACTTGCTATGTGCTAAGCACATTTCACACATTAACATGTTGACTCTTCACAGCCATGTTTTATGGTAGGATTCATCCCATTTTACAGATAAGGAAACCAAGGAGGAGAAGCTAGGTTATAGAGGAGGTTACAGAAGGAGATTATCAAGTTGGTAACAAGTGTTGGAGGAGAGCCTCAGGAACCCACATCGCTGCCCACTGCCCTGACTGGCCTTTCCCATCCTGCTCTGTGAGGGACTGATAATCTATCCCCTTCTGGGCAGCTGACTTCATGGCTCCCCACCTTGATTTTTTTTTTTTTTTTTAGAGACAGAATCTCACTTTTTGCCCTTGGTAGAGTGCTGTGGCGTCACAGCTCACAGCAACCTCCAACTCCTGGGCTTAGGCTATTCTCTTGCCTCAGCCTCCCAAGTAGCTGGGACCACAGGCACCCGCCACAACGCCTGGCTATTTTTTTTTTTTTTGAGATGGAGCCTCAAGCTATCCCCCTAGGTAGAGTGCCATGGCATCACAGCTCACAGCAACCTCCAACTCCTGGGCTCAAGCGAGTCTCCCGCCTCAGCCTCCCAAGTAGCTGGGACCACAGGCGCCCGCCACAATGCCTGGCTATTTTTTGGTTGCAGCCATCATTATTGTTTGGTGGGCCCAGGCTGGGGATTCGAACCCGCCACCTTAGGTGTATGTGGCTGGCGCCTTAGCTGCTTGAGCCACAGGTGCCGAGCCGCCTGGCTATTTTTTATTGCAGTTTGGCTGAGGCTGGGTTTGAACCTGCCACCCTCAGTATATGGGGCTGGCACCCTACTCACTGAGTCACAGGTGCCCCCCAGTGGCTCCCCACCTTGGTTTGTCACCCGTAGTCCCCTCTCTGCTCCCGGGCAAGCATCATTAGGCACCCTCCCCAGGCTTAGTCCCCCACCCCATCACATCTTTGGCTTGGGTAGATCCAAACCACTGAGAAGAAAGAGCAGAGGATCTAGAGAAGGGACTTACCAGCCCCCTGACCTGTGGGCTCTGGGATCTTTCCCCTTAAAAGAGGGCCCAGGTACCTGGAGGTCAAAATGCTGACACTGACATTTTGGTGAATACACTTTTGCTTAGTTTCTTGGCCTTTCAGAAAGCTGGTTGCCTACCCCCAGCTGTTGGTCAGATGCCCAGCACCCGTGGTTCTTAGACTGCCATCCTCTGGGGGACCCTGATGCACACTCCAGGACCCAGCCCTGTCTCACCTTGCTGAGCCTGGTCCTATGCTCCCCATTAGCTCTCTAGCTGCTTCTGAGACCACCCCCAGAGGAAAGGCACTGTTTAGGCAGGTGAGTTAATTTGGCATTTTTATGAGTGCTTATTAACATGCCATTATTTATCAGTCCAAGAGCAAACTTTCTCCTTGATGACTCAGTGAACACCTTCCAGAAATGATGAGTCTATTGGCAAGACACTCCCAGTCCTGGCCAGGAGATGGATGGGCCACCTCACTAATCCTGGGCCCCTGGGTCAGCCCTTCCTGGGAGAGGGCCCCAGGAGGGTGGCGGATAGGAAGGGCAGGAGGAGAGAGCGGCTGGAAAGCCCCAGAATCTGGGTCTAGTCTGAGACAAGTGGGTGGGGTCCAGCAGGTGGTTTCCAGACAGTTATTCTCCTGAAAAGAAAAGAGGGAATCTGAGAGAATTTACACCAAGCTGGTCTCCCACCAGAGGGTTTGAGTTAGGGGCGTCTGAGTTGAGTTACCAGTGATGGTAGGTAATATAGGGTGCCTTCTAAGGATGGTGACCCTTGGAAAGTGCCCATCATTATGGTGACTGTGTGTCATGTGATCAGTAATAATTTTTAAAAGCTTTCCATTTGGACACAGTACATAAATAAATTTTCATCTACACCTTGGGGGCACTGGAGATGTTCTAAGCAAGAGACCACACCCAGGGGAATTTTGGCTTAGAAATTATTCCATTTGAGCTTGGCCAAAAGTTTGAACAATGTCTTAGTTACCTGGGCAGCTGTAGCAAAGTACCACAGACTGCATGGCTTAAACAACAGAAATGTCTCACTGCGCTGAAGGCTTCAAGTCTCCATCACAGTGCCAACTGGTTCAGTTCCTGGTGGGGACCCTCTTCCTGGCTCCCAGACAGCACCTTCTCACCGAGTCCGCACCTGACCTCTTCTTTCGGTGGCCTCAAGAGAAAGCAAGCTCTAGCTTCTCCTTCTCCTCTTCCTCCTTCCTCTTCCTCCTCCTCCTCTTCTTGAGACAGCCTCAAGCTGTCCCCCTGGGTAGAGTGCTGTAACATCATAGCTCACAGCAACCTCCAACTCCTGGGCTCAAGCGATTCTCCTGCTTCCACCTCCCAAGTAGCTCAAACTACAGGTGCCCACCAGAACACCCAGCTATTTTTTGGTTGCAGCCGTCATTGTTGTTTAGTAGGCCAGGGCTGGATTCGAACCTACCAGCTTAGGTGTATGTGGCTGGTGTCTTAGCCACTTGAGCCACAGGCGCCGAGCCTTCTTTCTTTGAGACAGAGTCTCACTATGTTGTCCTCAGTAGAGTGCTATGGAGTCACAGCTCACAGGAACCTCAAACTCTTGGGCTTAAGTGATTCTCTTGCCTCAGTCTCCCAAGTAGCTGAGACTACAGGCGCCCGCCACAATGCCTGGTTATTGATTACTTTTTTTTTAATGTTTGAGATGGAGTCTCACATATTGCTCAGGCTGGTCCTGAACTCTTGAGCTCCAGAGGGTCTCCCAGCTCAGCCTCCTGAGTAACCGGCTCTGTCTCTCCCTCTTCCTGTAAGGGCACTAATTCCATCATGTGGGCTCCACTCTCACCACCTCATCTAATCAACCTAATCACCCCAAAGGCCCACCTCACACATCATCAGATGGGGGCTCAGGCTTCAACACATGGACTTTAGGGAAACACAAGCATTCAGTCATGGGGGCAT